GGTTATACAAATCTGTCAAAATTCCTTAAACTCAAACCTTAACACATTGAGCGTAGATGTCAAAATCCATTGTAGATATTTGACATATTGCGGAAACCTAACCTTCAACCATTTGCACATATATAAATCTCGTAATAAACGTTTAATTCAATATTTTTTTCCTAAATAATTTGATGGGGGAACTGCTCAACCAAATAAAAATAATTTTTGGTTTATTTCAAAATAATACATATTACTTATTACATGTTGTCAGTATTTCCCTTTGGATATTGGATCCTAATAACGATTCGCCAATGTATAAAATAAAACATATTTTTTCTTTAAGACAGCCAAGATTCAAAAGTATTGTTAGATGGGTCGGAGCCCAGTCAACTTTGGGAACCCTTTACATAGATTGGTTTTAATGATCTATATTCTCAAAAGAAATGTAGGATTTTCTCTGGAATTAATTACAAATAACTAAATCTATACGCATACTTATTAGTAAGGCTCAAATCTACAGATTTTTATAACTTATTCAATATAGTTTTAAATTGACTTCTATAGTTTAACATAGAGATGCGCCGAATGTCCGTTTGGTATTCGGTGTATTCGGCATGTATTTCACTATTCGGCCGAATTATTCGATTTTGGTGCCGAATATATTCAGTTCGAGTATTTCTATTTTCTTGGCTACACGAAGTACTAAAAGACAGAACTTCTTATGTAAGAAGAAAAAAAAACATAGCGTTCTTAAACCTGTTTACGCGGCAAAATAGTGAAATGGTATTCCGAATAATTCAGCAGAATATCCGGTTTGGTAATGTTTTTTATAATACATTATCATTTATTCATTTCACAAATTGCATGTCACAAGTACTTATAAGTTGTTACATTAGATTTACAGTTAGTGTGACACCCTGTAATGGTATTTTATGAAAGTATTCATTTAAATACGCAACAACTTACTACGATAAAGTTATGGATGGAATGCATGTAATTGAATCGACATACCTATAAAGCTCTGCTTTAACAATGAATCAAAACAGTCTTTCACACATTGTATTGAAAAAAAAAGTTAAAATACAAATAAATAGTTTTTATTATTATTCCTCATAATTATATTAGGATTAGCTAGCTTATGACGATAACTAACTGCGTAAATTTCTATCCTTTTCTAATTGAGATTTTAAATGTTTAATTCTAGTTAATTATGTACTGAAATATTTTTTTATTATATTTCATTAAATTTACATTTACATTGCTATATTATATGCACTGGTGAATATTTTGGTTTTCCTTGCCCCTTTTTTGCTTCTTTGGACTCGGCAGAATAATCAAAAGATAAAATCTGTGAGCAGCCATTTTTACTACTATGGTACAAGAAAACAACGGCATGCGGCCTTATTAAATTATTCAATATTAGGATTGGATTTTATCACTGTAAATACATAATATTTATACGAGTAAATATGTGCCCATCACTGAATAGTTGGGTACATCTTTACTCTTAGAAATGGATTAAATCCCTAAATCATATCAGAGTAAAACGTATCAACATAATGTTCGATAAATAAAAACTTTGGAATAGTTAAAATACTTTCGCAGTGTTCTCTTCAGAACTGTGATCAATGTTCCCAAAAACTTGTTTTCGTGGCAACTATATGTACGATAACCTTTTGAAACTATCAAAAGCCGTAAGAAGTTTTAGAAACGCTTATTTTGTTCCAAAAAGTTTTCAAGTGTTTACATTATGTGAAAATCTTAGATAATATGAATATTGCTCCATAGTTGTTGTATACGACAGTTGTTCATTAAATAAATTTTAATTACCATTGATGGTATTTACACTCGTGCTTATTTCTCTTACTGTCATAAGCGATAACACAAAATAATGAAGGTACTATTAACACAGCATGAAATAGATTAATATGCGCAATAATCATCTGTCTCTCTTTATCTCACTGACATAGCTTTGAGATGTCATTTCATTTTCTCTTTACTCCTATATACCTACAGTCTTATTAAACGTTATGTAACAAAATTAATATATCCCTTGCGAGGCACGTTAGAATTCGCGTTCCATACACTTAGAATCGAGAGTTTTTTTCTTTGCATCAACAATGTTAAGATAGCAAATTTTATATTATCATATAGTAAAAACAATACTTAATATACCACAGTAAAATAAAAATATACCAGGCTTACTACTTTCGATTCTAAGTGTACGGAACACAAATACCTGACCAGTGCGAGGGGTGGGTATATCATGCGAAATAAATACCTTATTGGATAGGAGAGAAATTAATTATTAGTTTTCTTATAATCTTACACCAATGACGAAAGTTGTCCATTTCGTTTTATTCGATATTTTTGCTTACATCACATAAGTACCTGTCACGGACAAATATTTAAATTTGCAATACGAATTTAGTGTTGCCAACTTAAATATCTATTCGGTATTAATAATACATCTCTTTCTAATCATTATTGTTTTCTATAATTACACTTTTACGTTGTTATTTACTATTATTATCTATGAAAAAAAATATATATCAAAAAATCTAACTATATCTGAAACAGGAGAACATCTTAAAGTGTCCGATGGCTCAGTTGGAAATAGATTTACATAGTTATTTTACAGTAGTATCGAACGTGGAGCTCCGGCAAAAGAATGTTGATACAATTGATTTTTTAAGAATATCTCTTTGTAGACTAAAGTAAAATTTTCTTCTTTCATGTAAAGATGATCTGAGGCGATGTATTTTACATTAGAATTGTGTCGAATGTACATGGATAGTGAACGTGTGTGTAGAGACGTGGGTAATAAAGGCCCGTGTGAATATTACCTGCGCGGGCGCAGTTTACCTACGACTCCGGGAACAGAATGCTCTCCACTGGAGCCGACGCGGTCATATCGTCGTCATCCGGTCGCGACCAATCCTATAAAAAGCACAAGCTGTCAATAAGGAAACGTTTACTAGAGGTCGGTAGAAGGCAGTATTGCCCACCCCAAGAAACAAGAAAACGACAGATCACAAATAAAAAAAAAAACAGGAGAATAGTGGGTTTAGTGAAAAAGGCATATTTCATACTGTTGTCATAATTTAAAAAATCACATACTTTTCTTAGTTATCAAGACTTCACACATCTTTAAATTATAATATTGGACATAAAATAAAAAAAATGAAACGAAATAAAAAATACAATTATTTTCCATTTCCTTCCTCAATTGTCTTTTTTCTTTATTTTCTGACTCATTTTCCTTTTAAAATCATACACAAGCATGTGTAGCAATGTAACATACATGTAACATACATGTAACATGGTGAAGCTGAACACTAGTTGAACACAGTAAAAATTAATAATGAAACAGAAAACAATTAACAGGGGCATCAATATGGAAACAGCAAATCTACTGTTAAAAACTGTTAATAGGACTACTGTTAAAAATTGTTTTTGACACTAGTAGGGGGGCTAGTAACTGGCCTCAGTTCTGGCGTAGAAAACTGATCGCACGTATACATGGGGAAACTAAATCACGAGTCAGAAGTTGTATTAACATCTTAAAGGCTAATTTACATGAAATCAATACCGATTTGCATTGTATTCGGAGTTACTGACCCCATGTAAACGCGCCTTGTTAGTTCACTCATTGAAATATTGCATTAAAGTAATAGTGATCGATCATCTACTAAACTTATTTTTTATATCACTTATTTTTAAACTTTATGAATCTCGAGATCCTAACGTATTCGGAAAATAAATACGATTTAGAATCCTTTTAGGAAAAGAAAAATAATATTACGACAAATTTTTTGAGATACTTAATGTAAAAAAATAAATAGTTTTTTATAATTACCTGCTCCTCTGTGCTAGCGAAGAATAAGTAGAACAAATTTGCGGCTAAATCGATGGCAGCAGCTAAATAAAACACTACCCGCCATTGACCTAATGTTTGCTGTAAAACAAAAATAAAAGACAATTTATCAATAAAAACAGTAAAGTAAAACAAAAATTACATTACAAAGCAATAATTATTTATAAGGAAATATTAAAGGTGGAACTGGATATTTATTTTATTGCATTCCAAACAGAGTCCAGTTACTGACAATAAAAAGAAGTTAAAATTTCTAACAAAATAAAGTTACATAGCTGAATTATTATAATATAAACTAGAACCAACCTGATCATTGCTAATAATATGTCCTATAACGTATGGCGCCATAAACCCACATATATTACTAGCGGCGTTCGTTATACCGTACATGGTGCCGGCAAACTGCGGTGACAAATCCATGTGGTTCATTTGATTGCCTGTATAAAATATGACACAGTGTTACCCTACTTGTTTCTTATAATATATTAATCAGTGTTACCATATCAAAAATGGTTTGGCCACTTCGGCCTATACGATTATCGCCAATGTCAAAGTATTTTATTTTCGCAATAATATGTATCTACATGGGGATTTTCGACAATGATTCAAAACCAAATATTATTCCACCTTATTCTTGTAGGCATGAAAATTTCAATAAAAAAGTAACAATAATAAAATAAGATCTATATAAAAGACATTCCGCATACATTTTATCATTATATATTTTTAACGTTCCTATATTTATATCACTTTTATTATAAATAAATAGTGTTGTTATATGTTCATTAGATTTTAAATTACATGTCAATAATTTTTTATTTCAGTTCATATATTTCATTAATATCATCGCCGATACGATGCTGATCCGATATGGATAGTGATCAATCAATGAACATCGAAATGTGTAAAAACTGAAAGAATCACGTCAATTTCTACTTGGCAACTCATCCGCCATGTGCTATACGTCAAAATCGTTATTTATTCGCGTTTCCCTTGTTCTGATTGGTCACTCGTGCTTCGCAGTGTTGTAAGCACAACAATAACACGGACCTATTACTCCGATCTCGGTAGCCGCCATCTCTGAGGTCTCAAGTTCGATTCCCGGTCGGGTCAATGTAGAAAATGGACTTTTCTATATTGGCTCGGATACGCTCAGATACTCCATAATACGGGAGCTTTACCTACTCATCTTGGAATCTGAACAATGTATGTGATATTATCTATACAAATAAATTAAATTGGAGTGTCTGTCCGTAATATTTAAATAACCGTTTTCTACTCAACGCATATTTATGTACACAAGGTACATATACCAAAATAACATTTTTAAAATTTTATTGTTTTGTTTGTTCCGGCTTATCTCTGAAACGGCTGGACCGATTTTAATGGGACTTTTACTTTCCACGCGGCCCAAGTGGCGGGCACAGCTAAATATGACCTATATATATTATTTATTAAGGAGCAATCACCCGCGTAGACGGCGCCACCGAACGCGGAGGTGATGCTGAGTAGGAGCATGACAGCGGTGCGGTCGCATCCCGCCCACGCTATGCCCAGCAGACCGAACGCCGGCACCGACGCGGCTGGACAATACCAAACAATCCAGGGTAAAATTGACCGCTGCTAAATCCAGACTAAGCTAAACTTACTCGAAAAACGCATTAAAAAATATATATTCAAATGACATTCAAATGAACAAATTACACATTCACATCATTTTGCCGGGTAGTCCATTCATTATTATTGCACTTGCATTTAAACAGCTTGTGTGTAATAATTCATTTGCGAATGATTATTATATCGACGGTGTAACATAAACAATTACTGTGACAGAAAACAATTTTGTAAGTTCGAAAACGCAAGAATGGGCAATTTACTATGAGAGTTCGGCTATTTTAGTATAACTGTGCACCTTGATGAAACTAACGGTAAACGATAGAGAATTATTTCTAGAATAAGTAGGAAAAACATAATTTTAAATTTATGCCGGAGTTGGAGAAAATCTGAATATTTAACAGTGATTTTAAGGTTATGTCGTTATAATATCTACATATATAAGAGGAATAAAATGAATTATATATTTCAAATAATTGATGACTAACAGAAAGAAATATTTAACTGCGAAAAAGTACATACCTATATTATAAAATGGAAAGCTTTATTTTTTATTGTAAAGGATAAACCCAAAAACTACCGATTCTTTAACCAATATAATACCTGATCAACATTTTCAGAGTTAAAATACTTTATTTTATTTTATAAAATTAGTAGTAGGTCGCACGTTAAGTCGATTAATAACTTGAAACTTAGTAGTTAGTCGAAGTTATATTTAGCAGTTGCGTTAATAGATTTAATTTTAAATGCCGCATAATTTTAAAATAGTATTTGAATATAATAAATTATAATTTAAAAGAAGATTTTTGATAAATAACAATTTTGCGTAAGTTAGCAGACTTCTGCCCATTCTCCTTTGACAGTTTTGTATAGTTTGACGTGCTGTTGCTATACAATTCACATGTATGATCTAGAAAGAAATTAAATAACGAAAACTTTTAACATACCAACAGTATTCCACAATTTCATACTATTAAGTCTTGATATCCATCCCTTGGAGAGTACCCAATCAGCAAAAATACTTATTAATATACCAGCCACCCATGAAGTCAAATAAGGGAGTGCAGATAAGCGAGCATTCTGCAATCAGATGAGAGTAGAAACATTTTAATTTACTATTTAGTTTAACCTATTCATGTTTAAGAACTAAATTAACTAAAAAAAACTCACAGAGACAATGTCGAAATGCAAGATATTGTTCATGTAGGTAGGCAGCTCCGTAAGTTGCGTATAGAACAGCCATGACTGACCGCACTGCGCTATAAGGATCGCCCATAACGGCACGCACTTCAGAAATTTGCACCATGGTATTGACATACTTGGCTTGTCATCCTATAATATTTATAGGAAATGTATAAAGAAATTAATCAAGTTATAAATTATAAGTCTATGATTAAACTTCATTATATGACTTAAATTAATTGTAACTGTTTTATATGAATCATAAATGAAATATATTTTATGTTTCATTTATTACCCATATAATTTAATTTAAAACCAAATATGGTGTATGTTTAACATAAACAAAAATTTTAAAATTAGTCAAGAATAATAAATATAACAAAATATGTTACTAATTTAACAGACATTTATCAAGTTTTATAAGTGAATATATGATCAAAGTAACTAATGAGTCATGTTTGGCCCACATGCTCTACAGATAATGGCATATCGTGATTTGTATATTGAACAAATACAACTACAATTTAGTTAGCTGGTTTCAGCAATTAATATTATTTAGGTTTGTGAAACAATATATTAGGAACCTTGTTAACATGGTTCTTAGTATCTCGTTTTTTAAAATCAACAATAGAAATTATTAAACATTTTTGCATATATCTTTAATAATAGATTACACACACAACAGTGAGGATTTCAGAATCTAAATGTATGGCATTCAGAAACAATTAGGGTATATATCAAAACCTCTTTGGTTTAACATTAGAAAAATATTTTCTATGCAGCGAATAAGGTTGGAATCACAAAAGTGCGAAAATGAACTTAGCACACTAATTTACTAACTTACTACTCACAATAAATATTTTTAAATTCAGGTCAGAAGTAAGACACTTAAGTCAGAATTTTATTTAATGTATCAATAATTTACTTAAAACTGTATCTAAAATACTTTACCTGAGGACCAATAGTTGAGATAATGTATTCAACCTCTTTTGGACATACTCTAGGATGTCTTTGTGGTGAGTCATAAACTAAGAACATCCATGCTATGAACCACACCACACCAAGTCCACCAAATAAGTAAAAACACAAAGGCCATCCTCCAGCATAATCCAAGGTACACAACCACCCTGATATTGGCAATGATATCACTGTCCCAATATTAGATCCTGCAATTTGAAAACATGAATAATTATCATATTTAATCAATTTTGCATTCACTATGCTATACTGGCAAGTATTCTTAATGAAATTGCTTAGAAAATCCACTTTGTCCTTGGAGATGGGATTCGAACCCACAAACATTTGCAATCTGGGTGACTGCTTTAGCCACTGATCTACTTAGGACCTAACAGGACTGATGCATCCTTCATGCATGTGTTACTTATATCAATAAAACTATCAGTGTAGCTTTTACTAGTACCAGGGACAAAGTGGATTTTTTTAAGTAACTTGCATTAAGAACATGAATAGATTTTAAAATGACATCGTTTATCTTTGATTCACAATATAAATAATTGATAACATATTATCCTTGCATTATATTCTTTACTGACTTATTAAGAACAAGTCAAATTAATCAATGCCTCTTAATCAAAGCCATGAACCTAAGTATTAAGAATGTGATTGTGTATGGGTCATGTCGGACAGCACATTAAGCTGTTGGTCCTAGCTACATCTGCACTTGTTAACACCCACCAATACCCATTCTGCATGTATGGTGGGTCATATCCGATTCTCCCTATTCAATTTGATTTAATTCAATCTATAGGGAAGACCTGATTTGTAAGGACATTCATAGGTTAGCGATGATGATGATGATTGTATGAGTTACTTTGCTTACCTGCATACACATAAGCTGCAAATTTCGATCTCTCCATTGGGGGTATCCATCTAGCCAACATAGCATGCATAGCTGGATACGTCACACCTTCACCCAATCCTTCTAATACTCGCACAACAATAAAGAACTTGAAGTCTACATAAGCAGCAATTGGACTAAGTATAGTGAATATTGCTGTTAATAATACTCCTACACCATACACAAGCTTCCCACCGAATATTTCAGCTATTCTACCTCCAGGGACCTATTTAAAATTAAATGTGATTAAATATCAAGGGGAAAATAAATATATCTGGCTCTAATAAAATTATATACCTGTGTTAACACATATCCATAGAAAAATGAACCCAAAATAATACTTTGCTGTTCAGCTGTCCAATTGAATTCACCTGGTTTCTGTTAGGATACAAAGTTGGATTTAATTACATTTAGGTATCACAAGCAATGTGAAAATCATACAATTACATGGTAAACTAAATAGATGTAAATTCCCATGAAAGTAATATATAAACAATACAATATTATAGTATATTATATATAATAAAATATATTAAGTATAAAATTTTTCCAAAGTGCATAAAATTCCCAAACTTAATATGAGTAAATTTTTCTTTTTCTGTTAATAGTGTCTAAGAAGTAATTTTGAAATTTCATTTAAGATCTGATGAAAGAAATATATATTTTTAGATTATACATTTCTTTTTAACATAATAATAACACTATTATTATTAGTTATGTCATTATTATACTAAGAGCTCATGTGAACTTTGAACTGGCATATAATTATTAAGACATAGCCTATTAGCTACTGGTAATGTAGTTTTATATTGGTGAAAGATTGTTTAGAATTGGTTGAGTAGTTTTTGAGTAGAATGGCATATTATAAGTTAGAATGATTTTTTTTTTATTAAAGATAACTGCCATCAAAACATTTCTGTAAAAAGGAAATCCGAAACAGATTGCAATTGCATAAGGTATTTATTAGTTAGGAATAGTATAATTTAACTCACTGCTGGTGCACTACTATTACTAGGACCTGTAGCAGGGCAGACATCGAGAGTGGAATCATTAGATGGCATAGGAGTTGTTGAATTAATCATAGCAACTATCGCAACTGACAGATTTACTCTCATTGCATAAACATTGGCAAAACCCAAGAACCCCATGATACCAAGCACTGTCCGACATTTGATCCATCCTGTAGTCTCCTCAACTGTAAGTAAATATACATCAACTGGCAGAGTCATTTTTCGAATAAGAAAAATAAAAATAAGGGCCTACTTTAGCCCTTTGTTGAAGGTATATGAAGAAGAAAACTCATACATATAACATTTTAATTTCATAGAATCTTACCTATGTCATTGACGACAAGATTTCTTTGACTACTTGTAACATCATTCTCAATATCAGAATTAATAATGGGACTTTCTTCTAAAGACGACGACATGGTTTATTCACCTAACACTACACTTAACACAACAACATAACATACAAACTATTTATCATATCTATAATTAACAACAAATTTGTAGTATATCTTTAAATAGATTTTATTATTGGCATAAATAACTTTAATTAGTTTTCTAAACAATTTAAACAAAGGCCAAAATAATTAAAAAAAAACACAAATTTCACCGAATGCTTTGTCTGCCCTAATCATTGCCACAGACCAATAAGAGAACTAGTTATCATTGCATTAATACAAACAGTAGTATTATAATTAGGAATAATAGTACTCCTAACGGAGAATCAAATGTACTCTTTGCGGAGAATAGTTGTCATTGGGTTCTACCACAAAATAAGTAACTCATATCATTCCACGAATGTCAAATTAAATGACGAAGTGTTTAAAAAATACATATTAGTTCCTGAAATCAAACTAGATGTCATTACGGTACGTTCTCGATTTCTCTCTGACAGCCTTTCCGGTTTTCTTTCATGTTTAAAAGTAAATTAGTTTTCAAAGCTCAATAAACAACTGATATTCTATTTGTATTTTTTTCGTATTTGTATTGATATCTGAGTTTCGAGCTTTTCAAACATCAGTTTTTTATTATGTTAGTTAAAAGGAACGGAAATGACTGTCTTTGGTCCATTCGTTTCCTGCGAAAATCAACTTTTGCTAGAGTCGCCATCTAGTGGAGGTGCTTTTTTGGTGCTTTCGTTTTTTTTTAATACTTCCTCATTGACATTCGTGATGATCATTCTACCAAGATTCTACCCAAACTAAATGAGTATAATACGTATTTTTACTCGACATCATCGCCATCTTTCATTCATTTAATTTTCATTTTACATGTAAAAAAATATTTATTCAGTTGATATTGGTAGAATTATGCGAAATGTGCATATAAGCCATTAATAAAAGAAGAAGAAGAAGTATTTCTACTCCACTGTCATATCAGATGTCATTTAGGGATGCAACGACATAACGGAAAACCAAAATATATCGATATATTACCCCTAAATATCTTAGTTGAAATAGATAAATCAGCGATATCAATATCGAAAATAGCAACAAATAAATTAATTATAAAGAGTATATCTATACCCATCCAGTTAGATTTAAGAATACAACAGCAAAGAACAATGGTCAAAATGGACTACGAAAAAAGATGTACAAATGTACCAAGATGGAACCAAGAGAGAAATACCGGATTCTCTAGATTTATTAGAATTAGACTTTAAATATAAATAAAGTCCTAATTATAAGGGGTTGAATTAAGTCGAGACATTGGGAGGAAACAATATTATGTGTACATTTTAATAAATAATGACACATCCGGATTAGATGGCATAAGAAACCACTGCTGTAATTGCTGTGTTCATATAATGACCATAGTTTGGTATCTTGGATGGGCCAGACACGAACAGAATGTAACTGCTCCTGCAGCATTCCGTGATGAGGTATTCATTAGAGTTGTAATAAAGAAAAGAAAAATCAACATGTGGTTTTGCTATATCCTTTAGAAATTAGTATTTTCACTACTACTTTATATAAGTTATTGTGTAAGATAGAAAAGTAGTTATTGAGAGCAATCTTAAAAATTCTATATTTTTTTTGGTCCTTGATTCACAAAAAAATATTTTATTTGACGTGTTATATTTTATTTGAGGCATTATCTGACGTGTGCTTTACATATTTCAACTGTATATCTAACTCATACTTCTAACTCAAAATGCTACAGTTTAAATAATACGACATAACCTCAAAATAATATTACACAATTACTCGAAACTCCCAGCTTTTAAAAATATATCTAATGTCTTTCTTTGTTCTATTTGCATATGCAAACAAAATAACATATGTTTCATCAAGTTACATTTTATTCGATTTTACTAGTCCAAGCATGTTAGGCAGATGGCCATTGTTCTTTTCACATGTAATACTTCTAAACGGCCTGTATTTTTATGTAACCCTATCTTTTGAAATGTGTATTAGTTTTATACATATTATATTGTGTTTACTGTTTCTAAATTAACTGCTATCAATTACTAGCAGTATTTTTTCTATTATGATTTATAAATATTAAGATATTTTTTACGAAAACTTTTAGCCAAATATTGATAAATCAGCATATTGGCGCGACATATAGATAACGATTGAAAGAACAATGGCGAACTCCCATATAGATTTGGACCTGAATTTTTAAAGTCTCGTTCATGAATGAAATAAATGTCTACTTGTAGGAATAAGATAAACTAACAAAATCCTAATCGTATTTTTCCTTTAAAAGTTGGGATTAAAAAGATATGGCATAAAAAACTTTGCGAGGTTATATATTGCATCTTTACTTTTTCGTTGAATGGACGTTAAAATAAATGAAAATGGTCACCAGGTTACTCCGTTAAATAAACTAGATTAAAATAATTAATTACATATCTAACCAGATCCAGACACTTATAATAGAAGACACATTTATAACATAAACATTCATTACAACTGAAAGTGACAAATAAGGGCAATGGCTGTATGGCTTAGTTCCTTCGCCTGTCCCATGGAAGAATTATAATACTACAAATAAGGGCATTAGCTTCAAAGACTACAGTGTGTGTATAATAGGGAGAATAAGCTTCATGAGGGCAATGTACTCATTCAACTGTCATTGCTATAACCGAATCAATTTCCATTCGGAATCCAAAAGTAATGCAAATATCAACGTTAGTCGAAGAAACACGCTTAATAGCCTGATACAAATACGAAAAAAACGGAAATAATTCGATATAAGCCTGGAATATTTTTGACGTGGATACGTCTATGTTTTCGTTCTACAGGGGGGTCATTCTGAGAGCGAGTATATGCACTAACGCCATCTATTGGCGTATAAGTGAACTATGCTTGCTCTGCAGGGGGAGGGGCATTCTGTCAGCAGGAGTATATGCACTAACGCCATCTGTTGGCGCTAGTGAATACTTTTTTCATTCAACAAATGAACGAAACGAATATTTATTTATTTAGTGTTTAGTGTCTTCAATTTGTTTATTTGTTTTTTTTTAATTATTCATTTATAAATGCAATTATGCCACAACGTTGCATAATTCCCGATTGTTTTGGAGAAGCAAATCGTTCAGTTTTTAGAGTGCCAAAGAACATTGATAGACGTGAAGAGTGGTTAAAAGCTATTCGTGATGTGTTTCCTAACCTGGATGTTGGTGAAAATTTTTATGTTTGTGAAAAACATTTTAAAGAAGCAGATTTTACGGCATATATAATTGACAAATCTGGAAAAATTATTCAAAAGATATCATTATAATATACAATACAATAAATAAAAAAAAAATAGCTTTATGCCATACGTATGCATATGTACACATCCATCTACGAACACGTAAATATAGCTTTATATGCGTTAGCAATAAAATGTAAAATATTTTTGAGTGAATTTGCTAATCTTTAAATAAAAATAATTAAATTCGTGCAAATTCATAGTAAAGGACATCGTCGAAAATGGCCCCAATATGAACAAGCATGAATATTTTACAATAAATCGCCGTCATCTTTACTGTCATGTCGTACATGAAGCTGTTAAGGATGTTCTACTTGTAATGTATATAATAATCGATAACTTGATTACACTTTAATTTTTAAATCTCGACAAAATATCATGACTCGAACCGGAAAAAAACTTGTAGGTGGAGTTGCCATGTGTGCCAATAATAAATGACATCTTTGGTGAGACACACGTCCATATAAATCTCGTAGGAGATTTCACTTCTGTTGAAGTATCATTCAAAAATAATACAAAGTTCATTTTAGCAGCTCTATATATATTCATCCCAAGACATCTATAAATGAAGTTAAAATTTTCTTATTGCAATCATTACTTCGATATTCTCAAGCTATAAAAAATTTTTTACCGACAGTGGAACCTGACATTGAAACACCAATCATTTTATGTGGAGATTTTAACTCCGACATATATGAAAATTCATCATTACTTAATTTTCTAAAAAAAGAATTTAATTTGGATTGTTGCCTAACTCAAACCACAACTCTGGGCAATACATATTTAGATTTAACTTTTACACGTAATTTAAATGTTAACCAATTTCGTTACGTTTCATATTTATCATATCATCGACCTATACTCAATAAACTCTATTTAAAATATTAATAATTAGTATTATTTTTTTTTTATCAATTACTCATATATCCATTCATACATAGACGTATCCACGCATAAAATATGGCTGTATCAATGATACAGCCAACCAGGGTTTTTTAAGGCAAAATGTGTTATCGATTATTATATACATTACAAGTAGAACATCCTTAACAGCTTCATGTACGACATGACAGTAAAGATGTCGGCGATTTATTGTAAAATATTCATGCTTGTTCATATTGGGGTCATTTTCGACGATGTCCTTTAATATGAATTTGCACGAATTTAATTATTTTTATTTAAAGATTAGCAAATTCACTCAAAAATATTTTACATTTTATTGCTAACGCATATAAAGCTATATTTACGTGTTCGTAGATGGATGTGTACATATGCATACGTATGGCATAAAGCTAATTTTTTATTTATTTATTGTATTATATTTATTGTATTGTATATTATATTGATACCTTTTGAATAATTTTTCCAGATTTGTCAATTATATATGCCGTAAAATCTGCTTCTTTAAAATGTTTTTCACAAACATAAAAATTTTCACCAACATCCAGGTTAGGAAACACATCACGAATAGCTTTTAACCACTCTTTACGTCTATCAATATTCTTTGGCACTCTAAAAACTGAACGATTTGCTTCTCCAAAACAACCCGGAATTATGCAACGTTGTGGCATAATTGCATTTATAAATGAATAATTAAAAAAAAAACAAATAAACAAATTGAAGACACTAAACACTAAATAAATAAATATTCGTTGCGTTCATTTGTTGAATGAAAAAAGTATTCACTAGCGCCAACAGATGGCGTTAGTGCATATACTCCTGCTGACAGAATGCCCCTCCCCCTGCAGAGCAAGCATAGTTCACTTATACGCCAATAGATGGCGTTAGTGCATATACTCCTGCTCAAAGAATGACCCCCCTGTAGAACGAAAACATAGACGTATCCACGTCAAAAAAAAGTTACTTAAGTGGGTCAGTTTTTTATTCAGATATAGGGTATGTTCCGATATACACTGCGAGCACTGCGCAGTGGTCTTACTGCTGAAAAATCCGTTCCGTTATGGACTGCCAGTACACTGCTACAGTACCCTAGGGAAATTTATGACGTCATAAATTGCCGCCATATTTGTACTGTGAGCACTGGAGATTTCGAGGTAAGGTGCTCGCAGTGCTTTTGATCACGTGATCAGTCGAAACAGAATCAGAAAATGATAAGTTTCTAAATAAACAAAAAAAAAATACTTACGTTTATTTATAAGATGGATTTAATTGATAAATAATTTTTTTATACAATTTTCCAATTTTCTTTTGAAAAGAGGGAATCTTTATATTTATATTCACCTTGCATTAACAAATTTGAAAATGGCGCCAAAAATAGGATTAACAGTATACTGGACTGCGTACCGTTTTAAAAAGTCACCAGTATAACTAGCTATAAAGGAACGGGATTCCAGTATACTAAATTGACGTCATACTGTTCAGTGGTCGCAGTGTATATCGGAACATACCCATAGTCATAAATAAAAGAGGTATTTTGTTTTGTATTTGTTTTAATAAAAACTTTTCTTAGAATTGGAAAATAGAAAACAGTAATCATCAGCATAAGTAAATTAATAGAAAAGGGGGTATCAACCCGAAATAGAGTTATTTTTACGATCATATTTCACAACTTTTCACAAGAAACGTGGATTGGAATATGAAATAAAAAATTGGACTTCCCATAGTAAATTGATCAGCTGATCGGCAGTTTTATATAAGATGGCAAATTTCTTTTTCATATTCCGAGCTATATTTCTTTGGAAAGTTGTGTTGTTGTTGTGTTGATGCCCTCTTTCTGTTACACCCTGTATACTTTTTAAATCTAAATGTATTATGCGTAAATAGGAATATTATTAATAGGACCCATGAAGTAAGTAGAACTAGGGGAGGAAAAGGCGGGAAACGTCGAACTTGGTGGGCGCGTTTTTCGAGTTTGAAAAGAATTTAATTTAATTTTATTAAGTATTGGTGATCAGATTTGTATATTTTCATCTTAGTTACTTTTAAATTTATTTAGTATTAGTTTGTAGTGTATTATAGCAGTTTATTGGTAAGTTTTTACGTTTTATTTTATGAACGAGCCTCCGGACATAGAACCGCCGGGGGACTATGTTCCCCCGGCTGGACTATTTGTTACCGTTTCTAATGAATCTGGAATGGAAACCGACGGTTCATTATCAGGACGATCACTCAAACGGAGTCGCGTGCATGTATGTAAGCACTGCAATAAAAAACGTCGCCGTAATCATAGTTCTGACTCAAAAAATGATTGCAATTGTTTTGATCTTTCACCAAGAAAAGAGTCTACTTCAAATGTAACTAAAAAAAAGACACAATCAGTTGACAAAGATTTTAATGTCTCTATTCCATCATCTGCTACTACAGAGCCCACAGTCACACCAACACCAATTGGCCGCGTTCTTTACAATAAAAATGATATTTCCCCATTTACTGTTCATGTGCAAAAAATACAAACTGACCTTCATGATAATACTTCAATTCATCCTGTTACTTTTGGAAGGTTTTTAAAAAATAACCAATTTGAAAATATTGTCAACGGTAGTGTAAAACTTATTGGCCGCAATAAAGTCTCACTAGCTTTTTCTGATTATATGTCTGCAAATTCTTTCATCACTAACAAAAAACTAGAAATTAATAAAATGAAAGCTTTTATACCTACTTTCAATGTCACTAGAATGGGTCTTGTACGAGGTGTCCCTTCAGAATGGACACCCGAAGAAGTTCTCGAAAATATTACTGTCCCAATGGGATGTGGCAAGATAATTAAAGTAAGACGTATCAATTATAAAGTTTCCCAAGGAGGTTCGGTTATATGGAAGCCCACACAATCAGTTGTAATTACTTTCGATGGGCAAATTTTACCCAAACGTGTCTTCATGTGTTTCAATGCTTTGCCAGTAGATCTGTACATTTATCCAACAATACAATGTTACTATTGTTGTCGCTTTGGCCATACTAAAAACCAGTGTAGGTCTAAACCCCGATGCTTTAAGTGTGGGGGAAATCATTCGGGTGATTCTTGTGAAACAGAGGAAGACAGTAATGTTTTTTGCTGCTTATGTGAAGGATCCCATTTTGCTACAAACAAATCTTGTCCAGAGTATATTCGACAAAAAGAAATTAAGGTCTATATGGCAAATAATTGCACATCCTATGTAGAAGCATCAAAATCTTTTCCTAAAGTTTCAAAATCATATTCCAATGTTGTCTCCACTAATTCTTTTAAAACTCCTTTATATAAAAATTCAACATCAAATGTAGACCATAAAAGTAATTCTCCTACTTCTTCATATAAAAAGACAGTATTTCTTAAACCTCGCACTCCACCTAGACTAACACCGGGTTATGATATTGAAGCTCACAAGGCTCTTATAAAGGAATTCGATAGTCCTATTCCTGCAGATGGGTGTGTATTCAATAATAAACTTCAAGATGAAAATAAAACTCAGATATCCATCACAGATTTAATTAAATTATTAATATCATTACTTACTCATTTTAACACAAATTCTTCTTCAGCCCTTCATTTACCGTCCAACGCAGTTTCTTTAATTTCAACTTTGATCGAAGGCTTACAAAATGGACAATCAAGCTAATATTATGCAATGGAATTGTCAAAGCTTAATAAGTAAAAAAAGCGAGTTAATTTTTCTTGTGAATAAATATAATCCTTTTGTTTTTGTATTATCAGAGACATGGCTTAAATGTCATCTAAATTTTAAAGTCAGTGGATATACTACCTTACGAGAAGATAGACCAGATGGCTATGGAGGCGTAGCCATACTCATTAAAGAATCACTTTCTTTCACACCTATTCCTCTGCCCTCTCACCATAAAGATATTTCAATAATTGCTGTTAGGGTTTTTAACAAATGCATTGTGTCTATATATATTTCCCATCCATCTATTCCTGCTTTAAATGAACTTCGTTTAATTCTAAATAATTTGCCCAAACCTTTTCTAGTACTAGGTGATTTCAATTGCCATCATCAATCGTGGGGCAGTTCTAATACAAACAATTATGGGGATGAATTATTAGACATCATTGATTGTCATAATATTTGTATCTTAAACACTGGTGAAGCTACACGTGTAACAAAACCAAATCAAAATAAAAGTGCTGTTGATCTGTCATTATGTTCTCCTAGTCTTGCATCTTCTCTTTCTTGGCAGATACTTTCTTCATCATATGGTAGTGATCATTATCCTATTATTATAACTTTTCCTTTCTCTAAACCTTCAAACCCCTGTCGAATCTCCCATCTCAAACATAGGCTTCCAAATAAAGACAGTAAAGACTGGGAAAAATTCACAACTTCAGTTCAGTCAAAATTATATTTGCTCCCTAACATCAACTCTAGTTCTGAGCCTGAAAGAGCTGAAGCTTTGAGTAATCTTTTTATAGATGCAGCTAATGAAGTCTTCCCTAAAAAAGTTTACCCCAATAAAATTCCATCTCCTCCGTGGTGGGACAATGAGTGTACGGAAGCTGTGAAACAAAGAAAAGCTGCTGAGAAAATATATAAACAAAATATGACTGAATCTAATTATGATAAAATGTCAGAGTTGATAACAAAAACTAAAAAACTTTTTAAACAAAAAAAATTTGAAGGGTGGCGTAGGTTCTGTACCTCTATCTCCCCTAACACTCCTCCAACATTAGTTTGGCAAAACATTAAAAGATTCAAATCGGCTGTCAATAACAACTCTTCATCAATGATACCACCACAGCTAATAAACCCTTTCTTAGATAAATTAGCTCCTCCCTGGGTTTCGAACAATATCTCCATCTCTTCTTCCTTAACTGACTCTGATATTAGTGCTCCGTTTAGTTTATATGAATTAAAAGGTATCATCCAAAATACGAAAAACTCTGCCCCTGGGAGCGACGGTATCCCATATGCTTTTCTTTCCAACGTTTGCAATAACACATTACAATATTATTTAGATTTAATAAACTCGTCAATGATCTCAGGTAATATCCCCTCATCTTGGAAACGTCAAACAGTGTTGCCAATCTTAAAACCAAATAAAATTCCTTCTGAAGCTTCTTCATATCGACCCATTGCTATGTCTTCGGTTTTACTCAAATTAGCGGAGCATTTAATCAAAAACCGTATAGATTGGTTTCTAGAAAGTAAAGGCATTTTAGCCAATACTCAGTATGGCTTTAGAAAAGGTAGAAGTACACTCGATAATATTGCTATCTTCACTACAGATATTCGTATAGCTTTCTCTAATAACGATTCGGTGACAGCTGTTTTTGTAGACTTGTCTTCTGCGTATGATAATGTCTTATTAGATATTCTCAAAATTAAACTATTATCTTTAGGTATACCTTCCCATTTCATAAATTTTATTCTCAACGTTTTAACAGAACGCAAAATAGAAATATATTACGACAATATTATTTATTCTCGGACTGTTTCAAAAGGCCTTCCGCAGGGGTCAGTCCTTAGTCCTATTCTGTATAATGTTTATACATACGATTTAGAAGATAATATTTGCTCAAATAAATATATCAAAATACTTCAATACGCCGATGACCTTTTATTGTATTACATTAGTCATTCCATTGAGGATTCGCTTCTTAAATTAACATCTGCTTTATCTAATTTAAAATATTGGATGGATTCTAATGGGTTACAACTGTCTGCTTCTAAAAGTGCTGTCGTAGTATATACTCGTAAAAATAAACTTCC